GTAAAAATAATAAAACAAGGTCTTTGTCTGCAATGATTAGACATGTTTTTTATTATTGTCATTAGTGATTATCTCAATTTCAGCAAAAAAAATAGACAAAATCCTACACACTGTGCCTTTAAATACGCGGAACAGTTAAAAAAACAAAAGGGTACATATTTTAAAATATATATTTTTAACCGTTCAAAACTCTCAACCTGCAACAGAATCAGTTTAACACCAATATAAAAGTAAAGTCAGGATTAAACATCTGAGTTTTTGGTTTAATCACAACTTTTCATCATAACTTTTCTTGTTTTATCAGTTGAACAAATTGTATTAATTTAGGTGACAGAATTTTACTATAATATTTATTATCTACTTATTCTGTGACTTTAATGACCACGAGGAACAGACCTGCTATAAATGGGATGTAATGAAAATTGGCCATAGTGCTTTTAAATATTGATTAAATATTTTAAACTGTCCTTAGATATAATATAATCTATATCTAAACAGGGGGCAGAGTTTAAACAGAAAATACTACAAAATACTGAGAATTACATGTTTGCACTGATAAGACATGAAAGTATTCAGATTGTGAMTTATCTGCAAACAATTAAAACTAACACTAAAATTAATTAACAAATAACGTAATGTTAGTTTTAGTATATTAAAAGGTTAACAGACATACATTAAATATAATTTATAAATTAATTAATTTAAACTATTTTTGAGTACTTTTTGGCTCTAATGAGCTTCCACAGTAGGCTGAACTACGGCCTTGAAACTCCTAAAAGACCCTCCTCTGTYTGCAGACCTCAGAGGAAAAACAAGTTTTTACGCAATAAAATTTAAACAAAACATTTTACTATTAAAATATGGTCTAAAATCCGAACTGAGGAGTCATCCTGACGGATTTTTGATAGAAAGATATTCCACTGCCTGAGAAAAAACAGGTCCCAGTCTGACCGGAGCAACATACTTGCCCAATTAGAAAAATAAGTAAAAGTGATTTTAACACAACCGCGGTACCGAGCAGGGTTCTGATTAACTTCCGCAAACATTTTCAGCGTTCTAAGACCTCGCAGGATTCGAAGGTGAAGCTGACAGATCCTACCTGCAGCTCTGAAGCTCTCCGGCTCCAGTGAAAGTGGACTTCTAGGTGGTGAATCCCGAGGCCTATAGAGAAATTATTAAAAAATAGTAGTTTTAAGCGTTCTGTCGACAGACTGACGGCGCTGCTCTGTTTGGAACTATTGGAAGCTCCATGAACCACGTGACCGTGTGTTGGCTAGTTCAAAGAGTGTCGTAACTTTCTCCAAGTGGGGGGTCTCGGCGGACGAGTGCGGATGAGTGGGCGTGTCAGAACAAAAGGCGATTCTAAAGCGACACACCTGATTTCAGACTTTGTTAAAGGGACACACCTGACTGGACAAGCAAAAAAGGRGCGACACCGCACGGCACCACCTGATTAAACAAGAACAAAAGGGGCGTTACTGCACGACACCACTTTTTCTGGAGAACCCTTTTGGGTCACATTTCTCCTGGTTAACCTTAGTGTTGGGGTCAGGGTCAGGCTGTRTAGAGGTCAAGCAGGACCTAAGGATGCCATCATGTAGGCCTCGTAGCCCACAGTGTTTATGCTTTTGACACGCTCATTCTTGTGACACGCCCACATTGATTCCGCTGTTGACCCCTTCTCACTCTCTCCATAGGGCTTCCTCTTCCTTTTCCTCTATGTAGTGTTTATTGGCGGTTTGCAAAAAAACTTCAGGAATGCATTACCGCCACCAACTGGAAAGGAGTGTGGACTGAAACGACTTAAAAAAAAAACCCAACTCATGTCCTATCAAATAATCGACTCTATAGGGTTCTGGGTGAATCCATTGATATATATTACTGGATTGGGCGTGGCTAGCGCATTGCTAGCTACATTGACGTGCACGCACTGGAGCTCTGTATTGAGGAGCCTCAACAAAATGAATGGAGGTCAATGGACAGTGAGGTGTCTTCCTGATGAAAAACTCTTATAACTTCCTTATTTCTTGCTCGATTTTAACAAACTAAGGTTCAAAATAAAGCTGAGGAAATTGTGAATTTTATAGTTATGGAAATTTAAAACAGATAACTAATTTAAATGACTAAAACAGTGGCTTAAACTAAGTATTTTGTGTTTCACAGGTGTTTTTCCATACAAATCAATGAGTTTTGACCAGCTGGATATTCATATATTTAAAAATCAGAACTGTGTCTTAGACATTTAAAAATCTTTCAAGTCTGTAT